CGCTGTGCTTAGCGCGGGCACAGGACCCCCGGGGACTGGCGAAGGTGGCCGGCGGCGGCGGCAGCTTCATTCTCGCCATCGACATCACTGAGCACTTACTGGAGGCCAGGCCCAGAATAGTGAGGCGAGATAAAGGGGTAACGCAGCCCTCGCGCTGGGTTTGGGGGCTCCAGAGGTGACGTGGCGCAGCCCAGCCGTGCTGAGCGGCCCTCTCTGGTGGCCCAGCCAGCCGTGACCCCCGAGGAAAGCCCCTAGCCGCTCGCAGGGCACCTCCTTGGGATCTTGACCCGCTTGCCGACCGGCAAACTGGTCTGCAGGGGGCGCTGCTCCCCAAGGGAGCGCCACCAGGCAGCCCCAGCAAGCTCCCCTCCTGCACCACCCCATCTCGGTCCTAAGGCAAATTCCTTCAAAGCAAATCACACTTCTCTACGCCAAGTCCAAGTGGCATCTTGTTACATAACAAGGGGGGTTTGAAGCAGAAGAAATCCTAGATGCCACGGGATCCAGCCACCAAGTCCCACACGCCGGGCAGCAAGCCCAGAGGGCGGCGGGGCTCGCCAGGGTCAGACGGCACCTGGTGCTGTGCCCAGACCCGAGGTGCAGGGGCCACAGGGCTCCCGTCACCCCCAAAAGATCCCTCGGGCCCGACCCCAGCCCCAGCCGGCACTGCCTGGCCTTCTGTCCCTCTGGGGCCCCGGGAGTGCTCCAGAACCTCAGGCACTGGAGTCCCCGGCCGGAGTCCCGGGCCCGCCCGGCCTCTCACTGACCGTGAGCTTCTCCCGCACCGTCAGCTCAGCGCCGGGTAGAATTCCGCGGCCAGCGACGCCCCAGTTTGTTGATGATGATTATGTGGGGTGTTCAGTGCTGGCCACGTCTCCAGCTCACGCAGCGGGGAGTTACTGCCCGCACGGCCCTGCGCAGCCCAGGGGAAAGGCACAGAGCCCCGGAGGCCGGCCGCTGGGGTAGACGGCGTCTCCGTTAGCGGCGGGCGGGCTCCCCGCTCCCACAGGCCGGCCAGCGGATGCCCAGGCACCCTTGAAGGGAAAAGAACCCCCACTTTTAGTCTGGTCACCCACACTCGGCGAGGCCTAGGCCTCCGTGAAACTCGCGGTGGCTGTTAGTTGCTCGTGCCGCCTGCTTCACAGCTGCCACTGGCCAGCCGGAGCGAGAAGGACATGAGGCCCCGGTCCCAGTGGACCCCCCTGCGCCCGGAGCAGAGGCTGGAACTCGGAGAGGGTCCGTGCGACCTGCGAGACTGAGTGGCGGACAGCTGGCGGCTGCCCAGGCCGGTCCGTGAGGGGGGCGGGGGCGGGGTGCAGGGAAGGGGGCCCAGGGGACGGCGGAGGTGCAGGCCTGCCACCCCGACTGGAGACCCCCCAGCCGTGAGCGGCCGTGGCGCGCCGGGGCTCGGCCTGTATTGGCGACGCTGTGGGCGGCAGCTAGGGTCTCTGCCTACTCCGTGGCGTGGGACAGACGTACCCCGCGGACCGGGGGTGGGGACGGGCGGTGAGGATGGGGTGCAGGCCACGGGCCGGCGGCCTGGAGGCGAGGACGCCTGCACCGAGCCCTGAAGAAGGACCTCCAAGGTCTTCAGCTCATGAAAACAGGAGCCACTGCCTGCACAGGACACCTCGGTGTGTCTCCCAGCTGGGTGGGCAAGACCTGGGGTGCAGGTGGCGTGTTCCAAAGGGGCAGGAGAGCGCTAACCCGAGAGAGGCCGGAGTCAGCGGGCTTGAGCAGCAGCTGGCAGGCAGAAGCACATAAGGTGCTGGCCGGCCTGGCCGTGAACACTTCCCGATCCTCCC